CCCCGATCGTGTACCCCAACTCCAACTTTCCCCAAACTTTACCCCAACTTCTCCCACCATCCCTCCCGACTTACTCTCGATCCCGACTCCACCCCTCCTGCCTTTCTCCCGTTAAACCACCAGTCCATCACCCCCTGTACTGTTCATTTTTTTTGTTGACAAGTACCAGACCGAAATCTACAGTGATCAGGCATGGAGGAGGCTTGGTGGGGGTGGGGCTGGTGGGCCCACAATTGAAAGAGAGTGCCACTGTGTGACAGCCACACCGCACTAGGCACACTCTGCAAGCTTTTGGGTGCCTTATCGTTTCCCGTGAAAACCGCCCTCCCAGCTCAGCAGGGCGGACTGCTGTTCCTCAGTTGGTACACCCAAGAAATGTTGAAATGCAGACTGGAGTTCGAGTCCATCTGCCATAAGATTATTTCTTGACTTTCTCGGCGTTTTGGCTAGGGAAGTGCAATCATGACACCTCAAGGCGGTGGCCCTTTCGAAAGAAAAAGGAATGAAAAAAAATATCAACAGAAAAATAAAACAAAATAAACTTCATGCCAGCTCAGCAGGGCGGACAGCTGCATTCGAAACAAAGCAAAGGAAAGAGCCCACAGGCATAGATCAGGGCAGACTCACAGTAGGAATGTATCTGACTGAAATTACGGTCAGACCTGGATGAATCTGACTGCGATCACGTCCAGAGCTTAGTAGAACAAGAGTTTGAGTATGCCCTCAGTTGGTACACCGACGAACTCTTGAAATACAGCCCTAAGTTCGAATCCAGATCCCATAGACATAATTCGGAAATACCTGTTGCTCTCACTGATGATACCTCGTTTTTTTTTTGTTTTTTTTTTTCCAATGATGATACCTCAAGAACGTGGCCCTGTAAAAGCAAAGAAAAAGAAATGCAACCCCACAAAAAAAAGCAGACAAACAGAAATTTCGAAAAAAAAATCCAAACAAAATGGACAGGCAGGCTGCAATGATGAGGGCTGCCTGCCTGCCTTTCCTTTTTGTCACACATGTTGCTGGTACCGGTACCATATCCAGTGTGGTTGAATCTGCGGTCACTGTAGATGTCAGGCTCGGACAAATGCACTTTCTGGTTGGACAATTTAGCCTCCGATGGACTGGTGGTTTAACCTACCGCGCACACCCGTGCACCCCCCCCCCCCCCCCCCCCCCCCCCCCCCCCCCCCCCCCCCCCCCCCCCCCCCCCCCCC